TTGAATCACTGCTGCATCCTGGGATCATTTCCTCAAAAAAGTGAGTTCCTGTGGTGCCACCTTCCACAAGGACAGATTTACAGATATAACCTCTCTCAGCCTTGAAAGCTGAAGTTTCCTTCATTTGTTTTTTTCTCTTCTGTTAAAGGACTGACGTTTGAATCTGTACAAATTTCTACATAATTGTCGTATATCTATTGGAAGCAATGCACCTTGATAAAAATGTCAAGTATTCTTGTTTGATTTAATGCATTTGCATTCATTTCTTCAATAGAAAACAATATCAACAATACTTTTATTTATATGGAATAAAATGATCTGACTGGGTCTCAGAGCTCTTAGGAGACACCATCACCTCCTCAGTAAGGTCAAGGCCCTTTTTTCTTTGAATTTCTAAATAAAAGGTTGCTTTAATGGGTTTGTTCCTCAGAAATGTCCATTTTCATTTTACAAGAACTGCTTTGTCCCTAAATAGCCACGGTACGATGATAAGCCTGATGTCCTGTGTCATTATGACTGAATCGGATCTTTTGGCCAGTTTGTCCTGAGCGATACAGAAACTCTCAGATGTGGCCTGTGGAAACATGTCATCGCTGAGTAAATAACCAGCAGCGGGGTAAACAGCTAATAAATCTTCTTAATCAGATGCTCTTAGGAATCACATGTCGCCGCATCTAAGAAATTCTAGAGGTCACTTGCGTAGGGCAGTTTGGTGACGGTCTGTTCTGGTCACTCGCTGATGTTCTGGTGTGAGTGATGAAGATGGCGTAGATGTGAGGTCCTGAACCGCCCCAGCTGCTCTCATCATGTGTTTATACAGAAGTTTCCTGTGATCGTGCATAATACTTGATGAAACAAGGAGATAATCTGAGTGTAACATTATACAGATAATAAAGATGCTTGAGTCATATAATACTAACTCACTGACTGTCACGAAGAGCACTACATGTATGACATAAGAAGTTCTCTTCTCTTGTTTACTAATCTAGCTTTTAAATATATTGGCATTGTCTTCTAGAATTGTTGGCTCACTAGAAAATCACTTGTGATGTTCCAATATTTGCTCCCTTTAGTGCACACAGAAATAAAATGTCATTAAAATTAAATTAGGCTAAATTAAAGCTCACTAAACTTCAATCTCAAACATACTATATATAACAGCTGATTTCCCCACTTTTGTCAGTCTAGGTATCAGTGGGGAAGATTTTACATGGCCTCTTTCTGCAGGTTACATCGTTACACCATTAAGCAGCGACAAGTAGCCTACTATAAGCGGGTATTGAATCATTAATTGCATTCGTTCAAGCACATTGATTTATTCATGAAAAAACAATTGAGTGAGACAATGAATCATTCAAAGAATTGATCCATTTAACAGCACTGTTTCTTACAGCAACAAAACAATTGAGTGAGTCATTGAATGATTCACCGAATTGATTCGTTTAACAACACTGTTTTATTCAGGAATCAAACAAATGAATCAGTCACTGAATCATTCACTGAACAGAATCTTTCAACAACACTGTTTTATTCAGGAACGAAACAATTGAGAGAGTCATTGAATATTTCACAGAATCGATTCGTTCAACAATACGGTTTCATGCTGCAACGGAACAATTGAACGAGTCATTGAATCATCCACTGAAGCGATTTGTTCAACACTGTTTTATTCAGGAATCAAACAAATGAGCCAGTCACTGAATCATTCACTGAACAGAATCTTTCAACAACACTGTTTTATTCAGGAACGAAACAATTGAGAGAGTCATTGAATATTTCACAGAATCGATTCGTTCAACAATACGGTTTCATGCTGCAACGGAACAATTGAACGAGCCATTGAATCATCCACTGAAGCGATTCGTTCAACACTGTTTTATTCAGGAATCAAACAATTGAGCGAGCCATTGAATCCTTCATGGAATCGATTTGTTCAACAATACAGTTTCATGCAGCAACAGAACAATTGAAGGAGTCATTGAATCATCCACTGAAGCTATTTGTTCAACACTGTTTTATTCAGCAAGAATTAAGGGAAGGGTCTGATTTGGCTTTCTTTGGATTTTTTCGTTGGCGAATTAAAAAGAGGCAAAGGCAATATATCTAAAGCGTAAGTTACTCCATAGTAACCATATTAAGACTGAAATCTTTGTTGTGTGTAAAAGCAATATCACACAATCGCTCTGTCACCTTGTCAATAATAGCGGTCCAAGTCCTCATTGCTATAAGGTGAGTCTCTTTTGAACTAGCTACAATTTTACTTTCTCAGCTCTTGTTACCTTCACACCTGGGGGAAAACCAGACCAAAACCAACGGTGTTTAGATCCCCCCTGGTCCATGACACAAGTTAGGACGTCACAATGACTTTTCCCTCAAAACACACAGGGCCACATAATAGTGGAATGAGCTACCAAATACACCAGTGGTTAACAGCACAGGCGCCGAGGTAATTTATTCTAATTTGTTGTCTTAATTTTATGCTGAGGAAAGCACAGTCTTTATGAAGAGTCTAATGGACTAACAGGTGTACAGTGAAATTAGACTGTAAAATAGGAAGCAGGAATATGTTCTTGTTTTCTGCGATCAAAGCGGGATTACTATCAGAAACAACTTTTCAGTAGGCCCAGTTTACTTGGTAGCACTTTACAACAAGGTTCCATTAGTTAATGTATCACATAAACTTGAACAAAGGATGAACAATACATTCATTACAGTATTTATTAATGAAACAGTTGTTTATTCACAGTGCATTAACTAATGTTAACAAGCACAACTTTTGATTTTAATAGCCTAATGCATTAGTAAATGTTGAAATTAACATTAACTGAGATTAATAAATACTGTAGAAGTATTGTTCATGCTTAGTTCATGTTAATTATGTTAACTAATGAACCTTATTGTAAAGTGTTACCGTTTACTTTTCTTTATATTATATTAGTTTGATGAAGTCAGTTCTCCTCATTTACACACACACTGTAAAATGATTTTTATAAGTTATCGGAGTAAGAAAACACTGTTTCAGTCTGTCTACTTTAAAATTTCACTTGATGTGTATTTGGTGTTAAAATTGTTCATACACATTTGTTTTTCAAGAGCAGGCATGTCTCAGTAATGTTTTTACGGGTGAACTGAGACGAGAAACGTGCGGATCCATGTACAAAGCTTTATTCTAAAACATAGTCAAAACAGGCAAGGGTCGGACAATGGCAAACAGGTATATAGAGGGCAAGACTGAAGAGTAATCCGAAACACAGGCGATGGTCCAGGTGAGGAATAAACAGTATACGAACAGGGCAAGACAAGAGGGGTAATCCAAGACAGGTGATATACTTCAGGGCAGGCAGAGATCATACAGAAACGAGATATACAGGCTAGGATCAAGACACGTATGACTAAGGCAATAAACAGGATTAAACTAGACTTTGACTCAGAACTAGAAACTCAAACTATGACCGGGAACTGCCTCCGTAAAGTAGCTACGCATAACAGCATAAATGCTAAAAAAATACTCGGCGTTGAATGGTGGTGTGAGACTGATTTTTATAGTGTGTGTTATTCGTAGCAGCTGTGTGTGATTGGTTTCAGGTGAGCTTGTGATTAGTGCAATGAAGCATGGGAAATGTAGTCCACACTGATGTGTAACAGTCTGTGTGGTGTGAGAGTCAATATAATGGGAGGGCGACCTCTGGTGGCAAGCGGACGGAAGTTCATGGACAGGATTTGTGACAGATGTAATGTCACTAAACTTTTTGCTGTAAACACCTAAATCTGAAATCACTTCATGTCAAGTATTTTGCTCGTGATGTGCTTTTTACAGAAGTCCGTTTCCGCCACGGAATAAAAAATATAAAGTAGCCTATTAATAAAGTAATAAAGTATTTGCGACTTTTTACCTCACAGTTCAATTCTGAGAAAAAAAGCCAGAATAGCCAGTTTATATCTCGTAATTTTGGCTTTTTTTCCGCAGAATTGGGAGAAACTCATCTTTTTACATTCTCACTATTCTGTCTATTTCGTATTAATATCGCGATTCCTTTTTCCGACACGGAATAAAAAATAAATAGGCTAAATAAAAAATAGGCTATTGCAAGTTTATATCGCACAATTCAGATTTTATTTTTCTCAGAATTGCGAAAAAGTCCGAATTGTGAGATTTAAAAAAATCGCGATTATATTGTTAGTGTGTTATTCGTAGCAGCTGTGTGTGATTGGTTTCAGGTGAGCTTGTGATTAGTGCAATGAAGCATGGGAAATGTAGTCCACACTGATGTGTAACAGTCTGTGTGGTGTGAGAGTCAATATAATGGGAGGGCGACCTCTGGTGGCAAGCGGACGGAAGTTCATGGACAGGATTTGTGACAGATGTAATGTCACTAAACTTTTTGCTGTAAACACCTAAATCTGAAATCACTTCATGTCAAGTATTTTGCTCGTGATGTGCTTTTTACAGAAGCCTGTTTCCGCCACGGAATAAAAAATATAAAGTAGCCTATTAATAAAGTAATAAAGTATTTGCGACTTTTTACCTCACAGTTCAATTTTGAGAAAAAAAGCCAGAATAGCCAGTTTATATCTCGTAATTTTGGCTTTTTTTCCGCAGAATTGGGAGAAACTCATCTTTTTACATTCTCACTATTCTGTCTATTTCGTATTAATATCGCGATTCCTTTTTCCGACACGGAATAAAAAATAAATAGGCTAAATAAAAAATAGGCTATTGCAAGTTTATATCGCACAATTCAGATTTTATTTTTCTCAGAATTGCGAAAAAGTCCGAATTGTGAGATTTAAAAAAATCGCGATTATATTGTTAGGCCTATTTTTTTTCCGTGGCGGAAACGGGCTTCATAGCTTTAGCTGTCTTTACAATAACTGACTCTTGATGTTGTCTAATCTAATGCAATGCTTGCGTACATGTTTTCATGTGCCAACATGCTTAGGTTGAGTATTGCATCACTGACACTCACTGATCTCACACATTTATCGGACATTCCTGTCCCTCTCCCCGCCCCGCATCAGCACCATCACCTCCGCAATAAATATCCTGAGATTCAGGAGCTCAGACACAGAGACACGGAGGAGATCCGGAGAGGCGCTTTAGCTCGGATTAAGACGCATTCTGCGCGCGCTGAAGAGGAAGCGGAGTACGGCGCACTGGTTTCGGGAGGTGAGACGCGAACACACGCTTTATTTCATGCTTAAACAAGTTTCGTTTTATGCGTTTGAGTTCAGAACAGCGCAGTGCTTCAAAACACACAGAGCTTCCTTCCTAGACAGCAGCATTTTTGGGGCATCCTAAGCGCGTCGGTAACCGAGTCGGAAAACACCTGATGCAGGAACACATGCAGCAACTCACCGATGATGCCCAAAAATACTGTCGTAGTACGCAGCGAACTGGGATTTGAGACACCACCGAGTATGCATTTATTTCACTTATATATTCTACAAAATTGCACAGTGTATGAAAATGACTTATAGTTAATATTGTGTAAAAACGAACATGCTCAATTGTCTCCATTTAGGTTATTATTTATACTTGATAAGGGTCTTAAAATGGATTCATTATATCTTAAAATGTAAACTCGTGTACTCAGGTTGATTCAGTCAAATTACATTATATATATGACTTGATATATGAGGATCAGATTTTTGGTTACCTATCATTTTTACAGCGCATAATATAGAGCAAAACTGAGCATTTATTATATAAAACCTTCCATAGGTACAGGTATAATAGAATACAAACTGGGATTTGAGACACTGTCAAAGAGTTATGCATTTATTTTCACTACAAACTTGTATAGCGTGTGAAATATATATATAATGCACTGTAAACTTGTACATGTGCTGTTATTTCCTTAAGCAGCTATTTATACCTGATTCTTAAAATTACTTATTTTATATTTGTAAATTGTAATGTAGTCAGGTTGATTCAGTCATTTAATAGTATAAATATCAACATGTTATGTAATATATAACTATCATGTAAGTAAAATCTATGTTTATATTATATATCTAGTATTAAAGAATGTGATTGTGAAGTTAAAAGGGTTTTAAAATTTGTATACATTGTAAAATGTGTAAATGTGCAGTTGTTGCCTTTATAATCTATTTGTACCTGATTTAAACTGACTTATGAAAGTGACTTATGATGGTGCAACTGTATATATTCAGGTTGATCTGATTTGGCTTGAATAAAAGCTGTTAATTTAAGTTTAACCACAAGGAGCACTTTGTATTTTCACAGTATGTGTATAAAATGCGTTTATAGAGTTTTGGTCAACCTAAAGGCTCTGTGGTTGTAATCTGGATACACTGCAGTCATCAGACGTGCATCCAGCACTTACAGTACTCAGACTGTAATTCATGTTGGCTCCTTCAGACTCGTGTGACGTTGACGCTCAGGAATTCGTTATTCCTCTAATAACACTCTGCTGTGTGTAAATCCACTCTTATCTGCAGAACTACGAAACCGCATGCTGGTACCGTGAATATCCAGCACTGCTCGTCTAAAAACGTCATTCGTATGAGAGATAGGCTACCGTGTGTCAGACACACTTTAAGACTGCTCCTAATCTAAAGCAATATTAACCCACCAGACCAGAATGAGTACAAACCGCCTCTGGCTTTTATTAAGATCAGGGTTATGATGCATGTTTGCAGTCGGCTCACAGCCAGCACATTTACAGCACGCTCTAATGCATAAGATCTGTGCTTTACAGACACACCGCTGTGTTGGTGGCTCTTTGTTGGTTTAATTCAGATTCCTTTTAGGCTGCTCATAACTCACCAGGTCTGCTCGTGCTGATGTTAACATGTTACTAGTTGGTTTTGCTTCAAATTGCATGCAGCTTCTCTTATCCTGCGCTCGTTCGGCCCTCGTATTTATCGTGCGCTTACAGATGGACAGATGCAGGACAGATAGACAGACTCGTAATGAGAACGCTGTGTGTGTGTGTCTCTCGTTCTCTCTGTGTGCGGTGACTCAGCTTCACTCCTTTACAAGCTTTTCGACTCACTCATCACGTTTGCAATGATCTATTCCTCTGTTCTTCCCTCCCACGGGTTTCTGTCTGCTGGACAATGGTGCTGTGTTCTTCCTTTGGGGCCGAAAGTAAGGATCAGATTTCTCAAGACATGTGGATATCAAATGCTGCATGTTTTCCCTTTGCAACAGTGAAACAACTTGTTGTTTTCCAGTCCTTAAAACAAGATTTGAGAGCTGAAACTGATACAGGATATTAAGACTTGAATATAAATGTGATTTGTTTTGTACATTTAAAGATTTGTGCCAGCTGTTCTCACTATGTTTTACTGATTTTTATGCTTAAAATGCTGTGAATTCAAGACAAATGGTTATGCATTTGCTTATATTCAAGTTGCATGTGGGTCAAAGACGTTAAGATGTCCACATCAAAAGAAATTTACAAAAGTTATTTTATGTCCATAGAAAGCACATTAAATGCGAGTAAAGTGTCTGCATTTAAGGTTTCAAATAAGTTTTTGAAGAGTAAGATGTCAAAATTTGGTTGAAATTATGTTCCATTGTCATTCAGTGTAACACTTATAGTTATGTAAAAATTCAAACAACATGCTTATTCTGACCTGTACATATTAAGATGTATAAAAGAATAAGGGAGCATAGTAAATTTTATTGGGGTTTAAATTAGTAAAAAATTCTTACTGACAAATGGGCAAAACCTAAGATAGTGGCATAATTAAAAAAAAAAGTAAAATTACAACTAATTAGTATTTGGGGTGAAAGTAATTAGATATTTAATGTGTCATAAATTAATTTTGTTGTAAATATGCCTGACAAGATTGTTTCACTGAATGACATTTTAGTGGGTGTCTTCTGTAAATCAGGGGAAAATGTATGATATTTATTTTTTGCTCAGAAAAACAAAAAACAAAAATACAATTACATTAAACAGAAAACTTTTTACTTTTTTTTTTTTTGGAAAAACAACAATAATTTAAGGCAGTAAAATTGAGGAGACAGAAATACTCTTAAGTTTGAGCTCGAGATGTTTGAAGACAAAAATACTCATGTTTGAGGTTGAAGAATTTTGCGGGTTTAAGTTTGAAGAGAAAATACTTTTGTTGAAGTTTAAGGTTGAAGAACTTTGAAGACTTAAGTTTGAGGCTGAAGTTTATAGACAAAATCACTAAGGTTTGAGTTTGAAGAAGTCAAAAGTACTGTTAGTGAAGTTCAAGATGTTTGAAGACTAAAAATACTCTTAAGCTTGAGATCGAAGAAGCTTGAAGACAGAAATACTCAAGTTTGAAGAAGTTTGAAGCCTAAAAATACTGAAGTTTGAGGTTGAAAAAATCTGAAGACTAAAAATAGTCAAGTTTGAAGTTGAAGAAGTTTGCAGTCAAAAATACTTACAGACAAAAACTACTCAAGTTTGAGGTTGAAGTCTGAAGACTAAAATGCCCTTAAGGTTGAGGTTGAAGAAGTTTAAAGACTAAAATACAATTAAGTTTGAGGTTGAGGAAGTTTAAAACTAAAAAATACTCCAGTTTGAGGCTGAAGAAGGTTGTAGACAAAATACTCTTAAGTTTGAGGTCGTTGCCAGTCTGTGGTTTTATATGTATGTGACTCATAAAGAGAGAGTTCATACTGACTCATGAGAGCTGCTGCACATTGTGAATGAGGTCAAATAATAAGGATACCAATAGAGGAGAACGGAAGGAAAGGGAGTTGAGAGGGGGAAAGAGAAAGAAAAGTGGGTGAGGTTTTACAGCAGTGTCATTCTGCAGACGCTCGGCTTGCATCAGGTCAGACAGATCCACTTGTGTTGTTTCTGTTGAGTGTGTGTGTGTGTGTGAATGTGTTTTCTCTCTCTCATGTCAGCTGGGTCCATATGTTTCCTGCACACCATGGTCACTGTAACGTCTCACGCCCTTAATGAACATGCAACTAACCGCTGCATTATACTGCATGAGTGATGACTTTATGTGCATGTGTTTTTGTGTTTGCATTTAACACCAACTTAGTGGCAGATGTGTTTACAACAGATACAAGTGACTTAGTCACTGACATACAGTGATCTTGGAGGAATTTGATGAGAAATGAAACCCTAGATGAGATGCATGTGAGATTACGGGGGGGGGGGGGGGGTTTGAGGTTGAAGTCTGAAGACTAAAATGCCCTTAAGGTTGAGGTTGAAGAAGTTTAAAGACTAAAATACAATTAAGTTTGAGGTTGAGGAAGTTTAAAACTAAAAAATACTCCAGTTTGAGGCTGAAGAAGGTTGTAGACAAAATACTCTTAAGTTTGAGGTCGTTGCCAGTCTGTGGTTTTATATGTATGTGACTCATAAAGAGAGAGTTCATACTGACTCATGAGAGCTGCTGCACATTGTGAATGAGGTCAAATAATAAGGATACCAATAGAGGAGAACGGAAGGAAAGGGAGTTGAGAGGGGGAAAGAGAAAGAAAAGCGGGGTGAGGTTTTACAGCAGTGTCATTCTGCAGACGCTCGGCTTGCATCAGGTCAGACAGATCCACTTGTGTTGTTTCTGTTGAGTGTGTGTGTGTGTGTGTGTGTGAATGTGTTTTCTCTCTCTCATGTCAGCTGGGTCCATATGTTTCCTGCACACCATGGTCACTGTAACGTCTCACGCCCTTAATGAACATGCAACTAACCGCTGCATTATACTGCATGAGTGCTGACTTTATGTGCATGTGTTTTTGTGTTTGCATTTAACACCAACTTAGTGGCAGATGTGTTTAGTGCTGACTGAATAGGCTAATAATTGTTAAAAATGTATAACCGTTGCGCTGAGGAATGCTGGATAAACTGGTTAGGTTGTAATCTAATACACACAGTGAGTATTGTTCTGTTCTTGCGTTTTGAGATTTTGCCCTTGAAATGTTGAATAAGAAAATAATTTTATCAATGAGTTTTTTTTTTTACATTAGTTGCATGGATGTCATTTACATGTGTTTTTATATCCAAACATATATTACTTTAACATATCAGAAACACTGCCTTGTTTTTACAAGGCACTGCAGCCAACAGGAAGAGACCCATGAACTTCCTGTCCATCTTCATCACACACACACACACACACACACACACACACACACGCACACACACACATTGTGGTGTGTGGTATTGGTGGTTTACGGGGACTCTACATAGGCATAATGGTTTTTATACTGTACAAACTGTATTTTCTATCGCCCTACACCTAAACCTACCCCTCACAGAAAACTACTGCCAATTTTTTTATTTCGTAAAACATCATTTAGTATGTTTTTTAAGCCTTTTGGTTTATCGGGACACAGGATGTGTTTACGTTGTAGTACCCATGTCATTATACACATTTGTGTCCTCATAAACCATATATACCCGAACACACACACAATATGGTTACAGCTTCTTTGAGCCACTGTGTGTGTGTGTGTGAGAGTGTGAGTGTGTGTGTGTGTGTGCATGCGCATTTTTGTGATAAATGAGGACATAAATTTGTATAATGACAAAGGTATGACATAGGTATTACAAGGAGAAGGTGCTTTTCAGAAGCAGAAACTCTTTTCTATGTTTTGTGGTCATTGTTATAGTCTCTGTTCCACATGGGACGCTCACAATGTCAGACAAAGAAAAACAGATCATAAAGCCATTAAACCCTTTCTTTATTTAGACTAAAAAAGGCCAACACATTACCAAAAAACTTGGTTTCAAAGTGGAAACAGATTGTCATTGCATTTCTGCTGATGCCATGGCACATTTTTTGTGCTTTTTTAAAATATGAACCAGTGTTATGTTAGTATCACCTTATAGTTTTTATTTTCCCATTTTTAGTTAAAGATTTAGTACTTCTGTTGGTTTTGTCATCTTGAATAGGCTATTTTAAAAAATATTTCAATATATTTGTATTATTTTTTACTTCATTTTTTTTCATTAAGATATAAAAGAGCAACATATGAGCAATAACATTCTCCCGTGAAATTGTAACAAACCTTTCTGTTTGTTTTGCAGGGGAGAAACCTTCAGGTCAACATGAATGCATTGCTAAACCTGATGCTGCAGCTTCTAGCTGCTCTGTGCTGTGCTGCAGATCCCACAGTAAGTGTGTGTGTGTGTGTGTGTGTGTGTGTGAGAGAGAGAGAGATAGATGTACAGTAAATGGATGATATCTGGATTGATCAACATTCTGCATCTCTGACAGGTGCTGGATATCAGACAGAAGCGAGGCACGCGCACATATAGAGGTGAGTTTTATTCTGACCTCTCAACTTCATCTCTGGCTATGTTGCATGTGTGTCCGCCCGGGTTTACAGGAACACAGTGTGAAATCAGTAAGCCATCAGCATTTGACCTTGCAGCAAATACAGCTGTTTATCACTGTTTAGAGTTTTTTTAGTTATACTAATTTGACTTTTATTTAATTTTGTTTTTGCTTTGTATTATTAGTTGGTAGGAAAATTTGTATAACTTGCTATATTTTAGTATATTAGTATAACTTACAATTTTTTTGTATTATTATTTGCTAGTATAAGTAGTATAACTAGTATAACTTACAATTTTGTTGTATTATTAGTTGCTAGTATAATTAGTATATCTAGTATAACCTTTTTAGTATCATTAATTGCTAATAAATTTTGTGTAACTAATATAACTTATCATTTTTAGTATTATTAGTTGCTAATAAATTTAGTGTGACTAGTATAACTAGTATTTTAGTTGCTAGTAAAATTAGTGTAAGTAATAAAACATACTATTTTTAGTATCATTAGTTCCTAGTAATGTAGTTGTAGTATTATTTGTATTATAGTATTGCTATTTATGAACTGTTTTATTAGTATTAGTTGCTATTAAAATTAGTATAACCAATATAACCTACTATTTTTAGTTTTATTAGTTGCTAGTAAAATTGGTGTAACTAGTGTGACTTACTATTTTTAGAATTATTAGTTGCTAGTAAAATTAGTGTAACTAGTGTAGCTTGCTATTTTTAGTATCAATTGCTAGTATAGTATAACTAGTATAACTAGTATATACTAGTATAACTTACTATTTTTATTATTTGTTAGTAAAATTAGTACAACTAGTGTAACTTGTGCATTTTAGGATTATTAGTTGCTAGTAAAATAAGTATAACTTGTGTAACGTATTTTAGTATTATTTGTTGCTAGTAAAATTAGTATAACTAGTGTAACTTATTTTAGTATTATTTGTTGCTAGTAAAATTAGTATAACTAGTGTAACTTATTTTAGTATTATTTGTTGCTAGTAAAATTAGTATAACTAGTGTAACTTATTTTAGTATTATTTGTTGCTAGTAAAATTAGTATAACTAGTGTAACTTATTTTAGTATTATTT